CATGAACTGTAGCCCTCTAGGCTCCTCTGTCCATGGGATTTCCCAGGCAAGAATACTGGAGTGGGTTGCCATTTCCTCCTCCAGGGGATCTTTCTTACCCATGGATTGAACCCTTATCTCCTACAACTCTTGCATTGCAGGCAGATTCTTTACCACTAAGCCACCATGGAAACCCTAAGACTCCATAGGCCACTGTACTTAGGTTCCATAGAAATCTGTGTTTCTTCCTTGCAGTGTACTTCAGTTAGCCTGTCTAACTGTAAAGGATGTGCTAATCCAGTATCACAGAAGGAAGATGAAAGGAAGTCACATTTCTTCATGGAATGAGACCTCCTCCATTGTCTTGATTGAGGGTCAAGATATTATTTATAAAAGAAATGTATGCTTCTTATTTAAAAATGCAATTGTATATAATAAAATGAAATAAAAATGAATTCTTCTTAGCTCAGCACACTTATTGCTCAGAGGCAAGTATTGTTAACAGCAGATTTCCATTTACACACAAATGGACTCATATTTTGCCAGTTCTGTGACTTATTCACTCGTGGAGTGGAACACTATTACCTTATTCCTCTTAGTGACTGCATTAGCCTTCCGTTATGTAAATGCAGCTTAACTGATGTGTCTGTTTCTTCCTGGATAAATAGCTGCCATGAACATCCTTGACCCCTGTTGCTAAGTTCAAGGTTCATTTTTTAATATATAGTTTTAAAAATTTGCTTTTGGTTGTGCTGGGTCTTTGTTGCTATGCGGGCTTTCTCTAGTTGCAGAGAGGGGCGTGCTACTCTTTGTTACATTGGCGGGCTTCTCACTGCGGTGACTTCTCCTGTTGCTGAGCACAGACTCTAAGGCATGCAGCCCTCAGTAGTTGTGGCTCCTGGGCTCGGTTGACCAGGGCATGGGGATCTTCCCAGATCAGAGATCAAACCCATGTCCCCTGCATTGGCAGGTGAATTCTTAGCCACTGAACCACCAGGGAAGCCCCTCAAGGCTCATTTTTATGACTGAGTGGATGATCTCTCAGGATGGAGTCAATCTTTCTGCCACTCTGTCCACAAGTTTCTCCCTAACAGTGTTGATCATTGCCTGTGATCAACTATGGCTGTTGAACTATGACTGTTACTAAGTACTCATGGATTAAGAGCCTTTTCTGAGTGTCATAATCTACTAGTATTCACTGGGAAAGATTAATGGTAATCACATTAAAACAACTGCTGTATGCCAGATACCTTATTTCAGGTTTCAGGGTGTTATCCTCTGACAGTGCTTTCCATGCAAAGAGCAAGAAGGCCCTGGGCAAGATGGAAACATCAGGGTTGGGATTTAAACCCGTTTGAGTCTAACTCCAAAGATTGCGTGAAGGAGAGACTCTCAGGTTGTGCTTACTTCTGCTCCTCCTATGCCTTTTGGCCCTCACCAGCATGTGTCCTGGCTCCTCTTTCTCACAGCATGCTTGGCAGTAGTAGCTGATCAATGCGCAGATGCCTGCAGTGCTCTTGAAGACATTGCAGTCTGGTTAAGGGGATTGTAAAATCTGTAGTCTTTGAAGCACAGAGCTGTGGAGACCTCAGCAGGCATTGTGGAGGTGGAAGAGCTTTGAACCGGGTCCACAGTCACAGAAAAGGAACGTCACGGGGCCACCTACTGACCTAACAGGGTGCAGAATTCTTTCTACTAAGTTGACAAGACAGCCATTGTTTAGAAAATAGTAAATCAAAGCATGAAATCAGTGCAGAATTGATTAGAAATGGCATCATGGAATAATCTGAAGGAGAAGAGGATATTTCAAGAAAGATTTGTGTCTGTGTGGGAAAGAGAATTTGAGCCAGCATTACAAAACACAGGTCTTTTGACTGTTCGGAAAGAGGATTGGAATAATAAATACATAGCTTATAGGGCAAAGACCTTCAGAATTCACCAGGTCATGATGAGGAGGTGAAATCAACAACCACGACAGCTGTCATTTGTTAAACACTTAATGTAACCAGGTACCATGCTGAATGCTTTACATACAATCTCTGCCTTAATCTTCATATTTACCCTGCAAAGTAGATATCATTATCCCCAATTTTCAGATGAGGAACTGAGTCACAGAAAGAGTAAGTAACTTTCTCAAGGTAATATTAGACCTTCATGAATTTTTATGTCTCTGCCCTCTGTAGAAGTCATGGCTCTAGAGGCTAGTGATTCTCACCATATTTAAGACCCATGAAAGATTTTTAAAATGGAGTCCAGTGAGTATTCTGCCAAGTTTGTTTCTCAGATGTGATCCATAAATAAATGCATTGTCTAAGAGCAAAAAGAGTGGTTACTTTAAAGGTCTCATTAAAGCATTTCTTTTTTGTTAAAAATAATTCTGTGTGTGTAGGTTAGGGGCTAATAGAGTGAGCGCTAAGCTGAACTATCAGCTTTTACTGTCACTCATACTGTGAGCTCTTGGAACACTTAATCTCTCTGGGCCTAAAATTTTCTCTTCTAAATGAAGATAATAAGAGAACTAACATCCTAGGGTGATTGTGATTGTTAGAATGAGATAACGTAATGACTGCAAAGCACAAGAAGATCTGGTAAATAATGTTCAGGTAATACACTGGCTGTTATTTTAACAAGCAAAAATTCCTGTTAAGTCACTAAATAAGTAACACCCACCAAATCTCTGAATAGTTTTATCCTTCAGAAAGTGAGTCAAACAGCACAAGCCCAGAGGGAATATAACTAAGGCAAACATTGGAACTTCACCACTTTGGAATTCAAAATGCCTTTGGATGGGGGTTTTACTGGCTGCAAGGACCCATTTTTACAACCCTGAGTGAGTGTTTTCTTGAAATTTGCACCCTTAGGCACCTCTGGGCTTCCCTTGTGGCTCAGCTGGTAAAGAATCCGCCTGCAATGCAGAAGACCTGGGTTCGATCCCGGAGTTGGGAAGATCCCCTGGAGAAGGGAACGGCTACCCACTCCAGTATTCTGGCCTGGAGAATTCCATGGACTGTATAGTCCATGGGGCCACAAAGAGTCAGGCATGACTGAGTGACTTTCACTTTTCAGTTTAGGCACCTCTAGTCCCAGCCCTCCCCAGCAGGCTGGAACAGGTAATTCCTTTAGAAAAGCTCCATAATAATTCAGGGGTGCTTTCTCTTTGGGTTTAATGTGTCTCAATATCAATAGAAAATCTCAAATCTAAATTCTAAAGCTCAAATCAAAGCCTCATTTAAAAGTGCTTCCCCTGCCTCCATCCTTCCGCTTGACAGCCTGATATTTCCTGAGTTGCTTCCCAGCGCACTTGGACCCAGCACACCTGCGTGGATGCTCTCACGTCTGAAAGAGCAGAATTGCTCCCAGGCGGCTCCTCTAAGCACTTCTGTTCCAGCTCAGGCAGTGACAGAGCTAATCATGCTGCCAGGAATGAAGATTTACAGTACCCCTGGGTTATGCCTTGCTCCTGGAGTCTGCTGGTCCTTTGCTGTTGGCGCTTTGTGGAGTGATCTCTCCAACTCATGCTAACTTCTTTCGTATCCTCAGACAACTTATCCACTGCACTTTATATAAAATCAGTTGGTATTCTTTATTCACTTTTGCCTTTCTCCTTGAAGTTTTGAGCAGATACTGTAGAAGCTCTGACTCAAATTTCTCCTGTTTCCATGTTTGAGTTTTGCTCGTAGTTAGATTTGTGTAACTTGTACATTTTTATTTCTTTACCATGTGGATCATGGCATCCCTGAGTACCCATACCTAGAGCTGTGCACACTGGCTTGCATTCGGGGGCCCATCCACACTGAGGTGTGTTCACGGCAAATGGACTTATGGTTGGTCTCATCAAGCCCTCAGCTGGTCACAACACCAAGAAATTAATGGTCCTTTCCCCAGTAAACAGACCCAGAAGAGATCCCAAAAGGACATTTCTGAAGGGGATAATCTTCGATTTTACACTTAAAAAAAAACAAGACATAATATTCAAAGAAAATTACTATTTGAATTCTTATTATTTACAAATATTAGGCTTGCTAGGTGTCCCTAGTGGTAAATAACCTGCCTGCCAATGCAGGAGACCTTAGAAACACGGATTCGATCCTTGGGTCATGGAAGATCCCCTGGAGGAGGGCATGGCAACCTACTCCTACAGTATTCTTGCCTGGCGAATCCCATAGGCAAAGAAGCCTGGCAGTCTACAATCCATAGAATGGCAAAGAGTTGGACACGATTGAAGCGACTTAGCATGCGTGCATGCATGTACATGTATTATCTATTAAAATTTTTAAGGCAATTTATGTTTTGAAAGTTATCTCCTTTTCTGGTTATTCTAAGTACTTACAAATAGATATGAATTTTATTACATAAATCTTTAGAAAAGTTGTCTGTGGGAGATCGCCCATCTTCATTCACAAGGGAACAGAAAATTGAACCTTAGAATGGATTCAGTGCAGGACCTAGCACGGTGGGAGAGACCACTATGATAAGCAGGTTGGCTTCTGCTGTGGATAAAATACAGATCTTTTGTTTCTATGTGGTTATAAACCTGTGTCCAAGGACTTCTTGAAGAGAGTAAGGGAGAATATTTGTTGGTTTGGTTTATGATAGTAGCAGAGGTATTAGGAATGAGCTGGCCCCCATGGAAGCATCTCCTGTGGTGGTCTGCTTACTTTGCTGCAAACAATAGGCAAGCATCATGCTTGTCTGGAGTCTTGCATTTCTGGTTTCTATTACTTATTTTCTAGGTTAACCCCAGATAGTCAATACCTTATTTTTAGAAGCTCAGTTCAACATTGGGTTGAAAGGTCTCCTCATTTGTAACAAGAGACAGCATTTTAAAGCAGCCTTCCCAATTTAATTAGTTGTAAACCTCTTTAGAAGAAAGAAGTCCCCATCAGAGCATGTGTCATAGAAAGGCGGAAGATGGGAATCTCCAGATTGATGACACCTGGGGGTCCTGTGTTCAAATCCTGGGGGGAAGGGTGCTGAGCTGGGAAGCTAACTTGCGAGGATTTGTCTCTTTTTCACTTCAGCACGCCCTTGTGAGCTCTACTGCCGACCCATCGACGGCCACTTTTCCGAGAAAATGCTGGATGCTGTCATTGATGGTACCCCTTGCTTTGAAGGCGGCAACAGCAGAAATGTCTGTATTAATGGCATGTGTAAGGTATTGGGTATGTTTCCTTAATCTACAACTTTATAAAATCATGATTTTTTATTAATTTGAAAAGTTAGATGTTTTAATCTTTTGCTCTTGTGGTATTTGCATGTGGACTGGTATTTTTATACAGTCTGTGAGACAAGACTTTTCAGTGTTCATCAAGGTCACAGTTAGAAACCAAATGTCCTCCTGCTGTTGTCTTCATTTCTTGAGCTGTTGATGCACTCTGTGATATTTCAGCATGGAGCTGAGTCAAATTGAAGAAGAATCAAATTATTCTTTAGAGGAATGATTCTTTGGAGGAATTATTAGGAAAAGGCAACTCAAATTATTTCAGTGACTTTGAATTACTCACTGGTTACTTGCCAACAGTAAATTTGAGGAAAAACTAATAAATAATCATACAGTGTTTTTCACAAAGCATTTTGATATTTAATTCACTTTGATCACCAACATGATCACCTTAGGAAGAGAGATGGCATGACAGATAATTATAAACCAGGTCTTCTGGTATCAGTTTAACTTTTCACATTGACTCCATTAGGAAACTCTTGCCTTTATATAAATTACTTGGGTCTGAGTTTTAATCAGACTTGGCATCACCAACTCAATGGATATGGGTTAGAGCAAGCTCTGGGAGTTGGTGATGGACAGGGCAGCCTGGCGTGCTGCAGTCCATGGGGTCACAAGTAGTTGGACATGACCTAGTGACCAAACTGATTTTTTAATGCCTTTACATGTACAACCACTGAGGAATTTCTCCCATTGCTTACAGTCTATTTTGCAAGGAACTAAGAAACAAGCTTTGAGATCCAGTACTTGGGCATAAACCTCAGTTTAAAGAGGAGGTTTTTTGGGAACGTCCCTGATGGTCCCGTGATTAAGACTCAGTGCTTCCACAGCTTGGGGAACAGGTTTGATCCCTGGTCAGGGAACTAAGATCCCACATGCTGTGCACCATGGCCAAAAACAAATAAAGAGAAGGTGTTTTTAATCAATGAAAGAAAAGCTATAACTATTAGTAAAGCATAATGGCTTAGTGCTTAGGGTCTAGAATGTGAACCTAATACCACTATTTCCAAGCTGTGTAACTCTACATCTTTTTAAGACTCAGTTATCTTCCACAGAATTGAGATGTTAACATATCTTCTTAGATTAAGTGAGATTTAATCTAAATGTAAAGCCCTTAACAGAGCCCACGGCACACCAAAAACTCTTAATGTATTTTACTCATTTTTGCAAGTTATTGTCACAGTTTTTCCACTAGACTGAGTTACCACCATGAGAAGATCTTGGCCATCAATGTTTAGCACCCTGGGAAGGTGAATTTATCACCCTGCAGTTGCTGATGGACTTATTCCAGTCCTGACCAAGGCACAGGGAGGCAATATATGATTCCCAGGACTAAGTGAGCTAACAGCAGGTCATAATCAGACTCTAAATTAGAATGAACTCAGGCAAAATTCTCTTCCTGACACACTAATTGCCATTATATCTACAAAGAGCCAAAAATAATTAATATATTTTAGGTCAGGTCTGTTCCCCAGAGTGGGAAAAAGTTTGGCTAATTTAGGCCGTAACAGCCCCATGGCCATTTACTACAGCAGTTCTCAGGCCTGGCTGCCTATTAGAATCAGCTGGAGAGCTTTTAAAAATCCTCCTGATGTATGGCTTTATCGCCACCCTATTAATTCAGAATCGCCTGGATGTGGAGATTAGGCATTGGTATTTTTAAGACTCCTCAGATGATTGCCATATGTTGTTAGGGCTGAGAACTTTAGTCATCAAGAAGTGAATGTGATGCTAAAATTATCTTTTAGACCTAAATACCTTTGCCTGTATAGAGACTGTCTTTAGCTTGTGATGGAAAAAAGCAAGTAGTTTGAATGGAAACATAAGGGGCGTTGGGTTTCTCTCTTGAAGCCAATTAAATCAGCTTAATAGAATAAGTCAGATTTTCTCAGCTTGCTTTTTTATTTCTGGAAACCAGTTAAGGCTTTTTAGAAACATTAATTACTCACTTTCTGTCTATACCACACTGAGCTAAGTTTTCAAGTTGAGAAATTATGTCAAATCAAATTTACCTTAATAGCCTAAATGCAATTTATCTTTCAAAGATCCAGATTGTAGTTATTTTCAGCTTTTGTTAGTCTTCTTATTCACTTACTACAGTTTTTTCCAAAGGGAATTGAACATGTATTGAAAGAAAAAGTTATGCCATTAGAAAAAAATGTATATGGTGTCTGATTCATCTTTGTGTATATGAAAATGTTTGCTTATGGTCATATAAATACCTGCTATAGTTGCTTATACTCATATATTTAGCTATTTTGAAATTATGATACTCACTACCATTTTGGCATGTTAGATTTGCAGATTCTGTTGTCAAGGGAATTTTTTTCTATTTATTGATTTTTTTCCTACTATTTCATTTACCCTCTGTATCTACACAAGGCTAAGATTTTAAGTAAAGTGGTATTTGCCATCAAATTATTTTCTCCTTTCCATTTTTTTTCCATTTATTTTTATTAGTTGGAGGCTAATTACTTTATAATATTGTAGTGTTTTTTGCCATATATTGACATGAATCAGCCATGGATTTACATGTATTCCCCATCCCGGTTCCCCCTCCCACCTCCCTCTCCACCCGATCCCTCTGGGTCTTCCCAGTGCACCAAGCCCGAGCACTTGTCTCATGCACCCAACCTGGGCTGGTGATCTGTTTCACCCTAGATAATATACATGTTTCGATGCTGTTCTTTGGGGAGGATTTACACCCATCTTCTGCTAGATTTTTTGAAAGCGTTAATGGATACAGCGTCCTCAGAGTTCTTTCTCATTTAAAAATACGTATAAATTTTATTTTATAAAATAAAATTTTATAATTTTGCTTTTCTTCTTGAAGGACATTTGACTGGGTACAAAATTTGGGGCATCACACAGCCTTTCCCCCTAAATTTTGTAAACATTGCTCTTCTCTCTTCTGCTGTTGAATCTTATATGAAGTACAGGGCTGGGCTAATATCTCTCCCTAGGTAACTTGGTATTTTTCTTTCTTTTTATGTAATTTACTTTTTATTGAAGTATAGTTGATTTACAGTGTTTCAAGTATTCAGCAAAGTAATTCAGTATGCTGTGCTGTGCTATGCATAGTTGTTCAGTCATGTCCAACTCTTTGCAACCCCATGGGCTGTAACCTGTCAGGTTCCTCTGTTCATGGGGATTCTCCAGGCAAGAATACTGGAGTGGGTTGCCATGCCCTCCTCCAGGGGATCTTCCCAACCCAGGGATTGAACCCAGGCCTCCCTCATTGCAGGTAGATACTATCTGAGCCACCAAGGAAGCCCATGAATACTGGAGTCAGTAGCCTATGCCTTCTCCAGGGGATCTTCTGGACCCAGGAATCAAACTGGGGTCTCCTGTATTGTGGGAGGTTTCTTTACCAGCTGAGTTACCAGGGAACATATATATATATGCTTTTTCAGATTCTTATCTACTATAGGTTGCTTCCACACATTAACTACTATAAATAGTGTTGCTGTAAATACTGGGGTGCATGTGTCTTTTTGAGTTAGAGTTTCTCTGGATATATGCCCAAGAATAGGATTATTGGATCATTTGGCAACTCTGTTTTTAGCTTTTTAAGGAACCTCTATAGTATTCTCCAAGGTGGCTGTACCTGTTTACATTCCCACCAATGATGTAGGATGGTTACCTTTTCTCCACACCCACTCCAGCGTTTATTATTTGTAGACTTTTCGGTGATGGCCATTTTGACCAGTGTAAGGTGATGCCTCATTGTAGTTTTGATTTGCATCTGGCTAATTAGTGACATTGAGTGTATTTTCATGTACTTATCTGTTTATCTTCTTTGAGAAATGTCAGTTTAGGTCTTCTGTCTATTTATTTATTTTGCTGTTGAGCTGTATAAGCTGTTTGCTTATTTTGAAAATTAATCCCTTGTCAGTTGCCTCATTTACTAATATTTTCTCCCATTCCATAGGTTGTCTTTTCATTTTCTTTATGGTTTCCTTTGCTGTGCAAAAGCTTTTAAGTTTAATATGGTCCCATTTGTTTATTTTTGCTCTTGTTTCCATTACTCTAGGAGAAGGATCCAAAATAATTTTGCTGTGATTTATGTCAAAGAGTGGTCTGCCTGTGTTTTCCTCTCGGAGTTTTTGAGTATCCGGTCTTACATTAGGTCTTTAATCCATATTGAGTTTATTTTTGTATATGATATTAGAGAATGTTCTAATTTCACTCTTTTACATTTATCTGTCCAGTTTTCTCAGCACCACTTATTGAAGAGTCTTTTTCCCATTGCATATACTTGCCTCCTTTGTCACATTAAATGACCATAAATGCATGGGTTTATCTCTGGCCTTTCTATTCTCTGAACTTCTAAGCTTATTTATCACGGATACAAATTTAAACAATGACTTTTCAGGATGTCATCTATTTTGAATCACAGATATGACATGCAAGAAGCTTTTAAATGTATGAACAGATATTCCCACCCCTCTTCCCAGCGTCCCAGCGCTGCAGTCTTACCTGCTGTCCTAAGACAGGATACCAGCCTTCTAGCTCGCTCACCCTTTCTCTCGGTAACCAGCTCTCTGACTTTCTGTTCTTTGCTCTTCCCTTTTCTCCCAGTCAGTACAGCTTTGGCTTAATTTCCTTCCCGAACAGCCTTGATGCCTTGAACTATCACATCAACCATCCCCTAGTCTTCTCTTAGCCGTCCATCAGCCTCTCACTCCAGGATCCTGATTCTGATCAACCCACCATAATGATTTTTGCTCTTGTAATAAGCCTACTGTACACTTCTTAATAATTGAACTTGGTGAATTTGTGCCCTTATAAATCAATGTCTTTAGCCCCAGCTGAGTCCCCAGCCTTACCTGACAGTCTTCCTACCTGTCCTAAGTCAGCTTCCTTTCTCATTGCTCTCACAATCTCTCTACTCCTCTTTGTTCTCTTTTGTGGGCATTTTGGCCAACTCAGTG